GCCAGGGTACATAAAGAGTGCAGGGTTGAAGGAGGCACTATATACAGACTGCGGAGTTGAGGGGTGCATTTTGTACGAAGTGCAGGGCTGAGGGGTGCGCTGTGTATGGAGTTCAGGGCTGCACTGTGTATGGAGTTCAGGGTTGCGCTGTGTATGCAGTGCAGGCTTGAGGGGTGCGCTATGTACGGAGTGCAGGGTTAAGGGGTGCGCTATGTATGGAGTGCAGGGTTGAGGGGTGCGCTATGTATGGAGTGCAGGGTTGAGGGTGCGCTATGTACGAAGTGCAGGGTTGAGGGGTGTACTGTGTATGGAGCGCAGGTTTGAGGGGAAAAAAAAAAAAAAAAAAAAAAAAAAAAAAAAAAAAAAAAAAAAAAAAAAAAAAAACAAAAAAAAAAAAAAAAAAAAAAAAAAAAAAAAAAAAAAAAAAAAAAAAAAAAACAAAAAAAAAAAAAAAAAAAAAAAAAAAAACAAAAAAAAAAAAAAAAAAAAAAAAAAAAAAAAAAAAAAAAAAAAAAAAAAAAAAAAAAAAAAAAAAAAAAAAAAAAAAAAAAAAAAAAAAAAAAAAAAAAACAAAACAAAAAAAAAAAAAAAAAAAAAAAAAAAAACAAAAAAAAAAAAAAAAAAAAAAAAAAAAAAAAAAAAAAAAAAAAAAAAAAAAAAAAAAAAAAAAAAAAAAAAAAAAAAAAAAAAAAAAAAAAAAAAAAAAAAAAAAAAAAAAAAAAAAAAAAAAAAAAAAAAAAAAAAAAAAAAAAAAAAAAAAAAAAAAAAAAAAAAAAAAAAAAAAAAAAAAAAAAAAAAAAAAAAAAAAAAAAAAACAAAAAAAAAAAAAAAAAAAAAAAAAAAAAAAACAAAAAAAAAAAAACAAAAAAAAAAAAAAAAAAAAAAAAAAAAAAAAAAAAAAAAAAAAAACACACAAAAAAAAAAAAAAAAAAAAAACAAAAAAAAAAAAAAAAAAAAACAGTGTGTCTGCAGGTTGCCGGAGAGGAGGAGCTTTTGCCTGTGTGCATTCCCCGCCCCCTCCCTTCTCTGCTCTCCTATAGAGATCGATGTGTAGGCTGGGAGAGGAGCGCTGTCTCTTGTAAATAGAGGAGCAATGTTTCTGTATTTACAAGTGACAGAAGTGAACAGTGCCGGAGGTGGCGGAATTAAAGCTGAAGAAAAAACCTGGGGGCAGCGTGGGCTCAGGGGGCAGCTGCTTTGGGCCCCACAACAATGACTGGGCCCTGGGCAGCTGCCCCTTTTGCCCCACATTAAAGACAGCCCTGAGCTGTGCCATAGATGCACCATATATCTGGTAAGGATTTACCTTAGCTGTGCCATAGATCCTCCATAGCCATGCTATAGATCCACCATATATCTGATAGGGATCTGCAGTATCTGTGTCATAGATTCACCATATATCTGCCATGGATCCACCAAATCTGTGCCATGACCTTCTATGTATTACTACTGCAGGTTGAAGCTGAAATACACCCCTGCATTTGTGTCAGATAATGTACCACTTCACCCACAAAATTGTTGCAGTTACAAATGTTTAGGCATTCTCATGTTTGTATTGGTATGACACAAAAAAGTGGAGAAACAAAAAAGCCAAATCTGACACATTCCACGCAAAACTCCAAAAATGTTATATTTGGTAGCAAAACCCTTGGAAAGAATAACTGAAATCAATCTCTTCCTGTAACCATCAATGAGTTTCTTACACCTCTCTACTGGAATTTTGGACTACTCTTCTTTCGTCAACTGCTCCAGGTCTCTCAGATTGGAAGGGTTCCTTTTCCCCAACTACTGTTTTGAGATCTCTCCACAGGTGCTCTATGGGATTGAGATCTGGACTCTTTGCTGGCCAGTTCAGTACTCTCCAGCACTTTGTCTGAAACCATTTCTGGGTGCTTTTTGATGTGTGCTTTGGGTCATTGTCCTGTTGTAAGACCCATGACCTCTGATGGAGACCCAACTTTCTGACACTGGGCCCTACATTGCACCCCAGAATTCTTTGATAACCTTCAGATTTCATAATGCCATGTACACGGTCAAGACATCCCGTGCCTAAAGCAGCAACGCAACCCCAAAACATCAGTGAACCTCCACCATGTTTGACTGTAGGGACGGTATTCTTTTCTTTAATGGCCTCATTTCTTTTTCTGAAAACAGTAGAATGATGGGCTTTACCAAAAAGCTATAATTGTGTTTTGTCTGTCCACAGCACATTCAACCAAAAGGTTTTTGGCTTCCTCAGGTAAGTTTTGGCAAAGCACAATTAGGCTTTTTTATGTTTCTGTATCAGCAATGGGGTCCTCCTGGGTCTCCTATCATAGCATCCCTTTTCATTCAGATTGTGACATATAGTGCGAGCTGACACAGTTGTACCCTGTGCAGAAGGTCAGCTTGAATTTGTCTGGAAGTTGATTGAGGTTCTTTATCCAGCATTTGAACAATCTGTTGCAATCTGTGATCAAGTTTTGTCTTTTTGTCTTTCATCCACGTCCAGGGAGATTAGCTACAGTGACACGGGCTGTAAACTTCTTGACAATGTTTTACACAGTGGACACAAGAACATTAAGATCAGTTAATTGATACAGGTGAGTTTAATTACAAATTACAGGAGCATCACAAACTTGGAATGCAATTATTTCTTACAGTTATGAGAAGGTGCCAATAATTTTGTCCAGTCCATTTTTTGGGGTTTTGTGTGGAATGTGTCAGATTTGGCTTTTTGTTTCTCCACTTTGTGTCATACCAAAACAAACAAAAGAAATAAACATGAGAATGCCTAAACATTTGCAATGGAAAAACAGAATGGTTGGCAGAACAAACAACAATGTGGTGGATGAAATCCTTTATTGGAATCCTTTACATGCAATGTGATAAGAACATAACAGCTCCAAGACAGGACAGAGGAGCAGTGGACGCGGTTCGCACGAACACGTGCTTAGTCATTATGTAATGACAGGACAGAGGAGCATTGGACGCGTTTCACACGAACACGTGCTTAGTCATTACGTAATGATAGGACAGAGGAGCAGCGGATGCGTTTCACACGAACACATGCTTAGTCATTACGTAATGACAGGACAGAGGAGCAGTAGATGCGTTTTACATGAACACGTGCTTAGTCATTACGTAATGACAGGACAGAGGAGCATTGGACGCGTTTCACATGAACACGTGCTTAGTCATTACGTAATGACAGGACAGAGGAGCATTGGACGCGTTTCACACGAACACGTGCTTAGTCATTACGTAATGACAGGACAGAGGAGCATTGGACGCGTTTCACACGAACACGTGCTTACTCATTACGTAATGACAGGACAGAGGAGCAGTAGATACGTTTTACATGAACACGTGCTTAGTCATTACATAATGACAGGACAGAGAAGCAGTGCACGCGTTTCACACGAACACGTGCTTAGTCATTACGCAATGACAGGACAGAGGAGCATTGGACGCGTTTCACACGAACACATGCTTAGTCATTACGTAATGACAGGACAGAGGAGCATTGGACGCGTTTCACACGAACACATGCTTAGTCATTACGTAATGACAGGACAGAGGAGCAGTAGATGCTTTTTACATGAACACGTGCTTAGTCATTACGTAATGACAGGACAGAGGAGCATTGGACGCGTTTCACACGAACACATGCTTAGTCATTACGCAATGACAGGACAGAGGAGCATTGGACGCATTTCACATGAACACGTGCTTAGTCATTACGTAATGACAGGACAGAGGAGCAGTAGATGCGTTTTACATGAACACATGCTTAGTCATTACGTAATGACAGGACAGAGGAGCATTGGACGCGTTTCATACGAATATGTGCTTAGTCATTACGTAATGACAGGACAGAGGAGCATTGGACGCGTTTCACATGAACACGTGCTTAGTCATTACGTAATGACAGGACAGAGGAGCATTGGACGCGTTTCACACGAACACGTGCTTAGTCATTACGTAATGACAGGACAGAGGAGCAGTAGATGCGGTTTACATGAACACGTGCTTAGTCATTCCCTGTCAGGGAACATACTTCCCTGCTGTGTGTGATGCCACTCTACCCAGCCACTTGTCTGTTACTCTGCCCGCCCACTCTCACTATGCCCACCTTCTAACAGACACATATCCTTCATCTTGGAGACTGGAACATGGAGAGAAACTATGCGATTTTAAGACTGCAAATAAGAAATGGTGAAACGGGTACATAACCATTCTCTTCTTTATAAGTCAATCCAGTTTTGAAGGTCTAGTTAAGCTTTACCAAAAAACTTCCTATGCAGATAAGGGGTGTCTGTAGATAAAAACAAACTGAGTAGCTTTGACCAAATCCTTACTATAGGTGTAGGCCATTTACTCACCTCATGAAGCCTGACTAAAAACTCCAAGGGGTGGCATCATCCCCTCCTGCCTTGTTGCTAGGATGTTGCTAAGACATTCTCAGAAGTTACTGCTCACCCCCCTCATCACAGGAGTGAGCTGTCAAACCCCCATACAAGTGTAGTCCACTATGTCACCAATCACAGGGGAGAGAGAGCACATGCAAGGGGGTTTAAACCAGTTGAGTAGTGAATGTCCAACAAGACAGGATGGGATACGTTTTTTGGTCAGGCTCTAAGAGTTTTTTGGTCAGGCTTCGGGAGGCACATAAATGGCCTACACCTATGGACAGGTCGTTATTTAACTTTGGTCCGATCTGCACAGTTTGTTTTTATCTACAGGAGCCCCTTATGTAATGTATTTATTTCTTTATATAGTTTAGTGAATTGACTTTAGAGTCAGTTTATGCGGTATTTACCATGCGTCTTTTTACTAGTAAATACCACATAAACTGACCGTGAATGTAAGATTTTGAATATCACATGAGTTAATTGGAAAACATGTGTCATGTGATCTGACTATCTCATGTGATATTCTTTAGTGAATTAAGCCCCCTGTCTGCTACATTACTATTGTCTTTGGTAATGCTGAGTTCACAAATACTTTAAGGATCGGTTCACACTATGCCTGCATCTGTGCAGCTGGGTTCCTGTGCGATCCAATCTGCATGCACCCCAAACGCAGGTCAAAAATGCAGTGCATTTGCCCACTCCGGGTCGCATGGTACTTTTGTACCATGTGATCTGGTTACAGTGTGTTTTAAAAAGTAGTGCATGCACTACTTTTGGTGAAGCATGGTGCGATTTTAGCCCATTCAAAATGAATGGGCTTGAAATCACATTGCACAGAGCTGCATGTGAATCGCACAGGAATGCAAAGTGCATTGCTGTGCAATTCAGCTCCGGGCATAGTATGAACCAGCCCTAAACAAATCATTAACTTTCTAAAACCTGATGGCTTACTATGGATTTAAGGGTTAGTTCACCTTTACTTTAAATCTGCCTATGCAGATGAGGGGCACCTGTGGTTAAAAACAAACCGTGCAGCTTTGACCAAAGTTAAATAGCGATTTTTTTTATAGGTGTAGGCCATTTACATACCACCCGAAGCCTGACTAAAAAACTCCCAGAGTTGTCATGCTGTCTGGCCTTGTTGCTAGGATGTTGCTATGGCACTCCTAGCCCTTACTGCTCACTCCAGACATCACAGGAGCAAGCTCTCAAACCCCTGCACATGTGTGGTCCATAATTTCCTGCGTTGCAGAAACTCTGAGCTCAGAGCTACTGCAACAGGGGAGAAAGAGTGCATGTGAGTGGGTCTGAATTGTCTGGGAGCATCTTAGCAATGACCTAGCAACAAGACAAAATGGGGTGATGCCATCTCTGGGAGTATTCCAGCTAGGCTTCAGGATGTATGTAAATGGCCTACACCTATTAACCACTTCCTGCCTGCAAATGTACTGCGGCCGGGCGGCAGCTACTTGCTGTACTAACACAGGGGAGCGCCCCCCCACCATCATGTGGTCGCATAAAATGTATGCAAAGCTGTTATGAATCAGTCTCTTTCATGACTGCTCTGCTTCCCATCCTAGTGAGCTATAATTGGCCCACAGCTGTCACAAGATAGATGGGGCCAATCACTGCACCGTGTACCATGTGACCAGCTCCAGCCAATCACAGATCACTATCTTGAGCTGTCAAAAACAGTTCATGAATGAGTTAGATTCATGACAGCAAGCTTTGCATTGCAGGAGAAATGATCAATGTATTATGCTAATTAAAGTATTAAAATAAATAAATAAATAAAAAATGTTTAAAAAATAAAAAATACCATATTGAGAATTAAAAAAAAAAATTTTTAAGGTCTTTTTTTAACTACTTGCCGACTGCTTACCCGCATTTTGCGCGCGAGCAGCGGCTCTGTGCAAAGCAACGTAATCATATGTCGCATCCTAGTTCGAGGTGTGAATGCGCCCCCCAGTCGGTCCAGGAAGAGAAGAGAGAACACCGCACCAAGTAAAAGCACTACAATTGACATACACAACGTAGATTAGCATATTTAACTCTTTGATCACCCCGTCACCTAGCCAGTGCCATTAGTACAGTGTCAGTATATAGAATTTTCCACCGATCACTGTATTCCTGCCACTAGCGACATCAGATAGCATCAGGGTCAGTTAGCGTCCCTCGCAGCCAGGGTATATTTGTCGCACACTATCGCACTCATACTATATACGCATACTATAGGTCGCTGATCACCCCCACTAGTATAGTGTTTGTATGGATCAATATAATGATCATGAACAGAACTATAATAATGCCTGCTTTATATAGTATCCATAAAAACACAGTGTTAGCAGAATTGTGGCCAGAACTAGCGTTTAGCCCCTCCGCTGTTTTTCACGGTAGAATTGTACCAATTGATTGTGGGCCAGGACAATCTATATGCACAACAATACATCTCCACCCACCCAAATTCAGCTCTTGCCAGAAAATTCACATGGAAACCAATCACAGTTTCTGAATTTAAAACTTTTTTGGGCTTAAACTTCAACATAGCTATTGCAAAAAAGAATGAATTGTTGTCATATTGGTCCACAGGTCAGATTCATCATATGCCCGTGTTCTCTCCTGTTACATATATGCCCAACATGGACCAGCAATGTACTGGCATAGAACATGGGTTTCCTGCATCGTGAGAAAGCCGGGATTTGTAATTTAAGGCAATTGGTGCATGTGATGGCAATGTAAGCTTGGGCAATGGTGTATTACTGGTTATTAGATTGAGACTTTAAATGAACATCTAGCGTTTAGTGACGCTTTAATGTTACATAGAAAGGGAAAGCTAGATTTATAAATGAGCAAAAAGGCAAGCAGCAATATCTATTTTTTTTAAGGTATGCTATGTTAATAGGAACATGTAAGAAATAAATATAAAGTAGGGGTTATCCCAATATCACTTCCAAGTGGTAATACAGTTTAGGACATAGTCACTGCATCTTGTGCAATTTACTTAATGTTATGTGTTATACATTAGTAACGATGAATACATTTAGGGCTTCGGTGACAGTTGCTGCGTGTTGATCTACCTTATTTAATAATGTGTTATTGTACATTAGTAACAGTGAATACATTTAAAGGCTAATTGAATTCTCAGTTTATTTCAGCTAAATACACTTCAGGTGCTTCAAAGCAAAACAAAAGATGTTCCATACCTTACAATGAATTTTCTTTCTAAAGTAGCCACAGCCTGAGTTGAAAAGTCTGTCCCCTGCCAGCAGCTGCAGATTGGGGGCCTTGTGAAAAAGTAGTGGGTACTCTGCAGAGGTGCACCCCCCCCCCCCCCCCATTAGTTTAGCCTGAGCAGAAAAGTCTGCAGATTAGGGCCCCTTCAATTTATGAAAAAGCAAAAAAGCAGTGAACTCTGCAGAGGGGCAACCCCCTCCTGTTTAGTTGGAAGGATAGCAGACAGCTTCGGCTCAGTACAGGCATCTCTGCAGAGATCTTTAAATGGTGAGAAACACATTAATCTTTCAATTTATTATCTTTTCGGCATAAGTTTTCCAAACTCTTCCGTCAATTTTTTATTATTTTTTGGCTAAAAAATGTCACTGCTGATCTTTGATTTGTTTCCATTAACTGGATGAAAAATAAATGAATTGTCCAAATGACAGATTGCAAATGCTTTTTCATCACCACGGGTTCACATACAGTACGTGCGGCTCCATACATCGCATGTGATTCACACAGGAACCAAATCGCATTCTGTGCAAATCACATGCGATTTGTGTGCGATGCGATTGGAGCCATACATTTTGTATGGCTCTATTTGCACCGCACCCGCACCAAAAATGTGCAGGACCCTTTTTTGGGTCTGCACTAGAATCGGATTGCATAGGTATTCACATCTATGCGATTCGATTCTGCACATCGCACCGCGTTTTGCAGTCTGATTTTGGGGTGTCATTAACTTAACATACACACCTGCAGCAGTTGGCATGAATGAGGTGCGATTCTGATGCGGTGCAGAATTTGCACTGAAAACCAGGGAGCAAGCCTCATTCACACAGCTGATTGAGGCCATACATCTCCCTGCCAATAACCAGAGGAGTGTATTCTCAGGAGTTTGCGATCAGCCAGGGCATGTAGACTGTTCACATGAATTGTAGACTGACAGGTGCCATGGCTGATTGCTGTGCTTTAACTACACGTTCAAGCAGGTACATGTGATTAGGGACCAATGAGTGGCCTTGAATGCAGACAGCAAAAGAAATGCATACAAAGTGTTTCATTGTATTTATGTGCTTTTTTAAATGTATAAGTATGTTCCTGTAGGTGACCTGATACAGATGTCATAAGGTTCAGTTGTTGGTTTATATGCTTCTGAAAGAAATATACTATGGGCGTCATGTAAGGGACATGGGCACTGCCATAGCTCCTGTGTGATTTCTGGTGTACCTGTATATTTCTTTTTTGTGTGTATTGAGACCCACAAAAAACACAGTGCAATTTTTTTTAAGACTAGTACACATTTTTTTCCTATGGTTTATCTTGTATGTACACAAATAGGACCTATGGAAATGAGTGCTAAACATCCAAAATGTGTAAAAGTCTTTGAGATTTGTTCAGTAATTGCATGGTGGGATAGTAAGATTTGGTTCACACTGGATCTGACTTTAAAATCATGCGATTTCACTTGAAGTCACACAATTTCAAAGTTGGATGGCAGTGCGACTTGATAGACATCTTTGCAACTTCATTCACTCCACGGTTATCTCTCACCTCGACTACTGCAACTTCCTCCTCATTGGCTTACCTTTATATAGGCTATCCCCCCTCCAGTCCATCATGAATGCTGCTACCAGGCTCATCCACTTTACCAAACATTCAGTGTCAGCTACCCTTCTATGCCAATCCCTCCACTGGCTTCCACTCGACCAACGAGTACAATTCAAAATACTAACAATTTACAAAGCCATCCACAACTCTTCCCCAGCTATATCACCAAGCTGGTCTCAAAATATCAACCAAACCGCTTTCTTTGATCCTCCCAAGACCTTCTGCTCTCTAGTTCCCATGTTACCTCCTCCTATGCTCATCTCCAGGACTTCTTCGGAGCTTTTCCTATCCTATGGAACTCCCTACCCCAATCTCTCCGGCTATCTCCTAATCTATCCACCTTTAGACGATCCCTGTGAACCTTTCTCTTTAAAGAAGCCTATCCTGCTTCTAACTAGTAAACTGCCTTTTATTTCATCCATCAGCTCATCCCCCAGTGCTATTACCTTGAGTATCACTCAACCCTCCCTCTTAGATTGCAAGCTTTAATGAGACGATCCCTCTGTGTACTCTTGTACCAAATTGTATTGTAACTGTTATGTCTACCTTCATTTTGTAAAGTGGTGCGCAAACTATTGGCGCTATATAAAACCTGTATAATAATAATAATGTAATGAAAGTGGCCATTGCGGTATACAGAAATTAGCTCAGCAGATAATGCAGTTTGTGATGACCGGTTCTCTTTAACCTTTTGACAGTATTTTTTCATCATACGTTTGTACTTTCTTTTGTGCACTTGTGTAAGACCATAGCAAAGCTGCATGGGCTAATATAGATAACATGCAATGTCACAAGTTTCAACCTTTACATAACTTGGTTCCTATATACTACAGATAAACAGACCTGGAACTTAGGAATGCATACACACGTGCAAAGGTTTATTGAGTAATACCAGACTATTCATTTTTCCAATTCATTTCCTTCCTTAAAAACCCTAAAGAAATTGGAGTGTAACTGCAGCCTAAGTTGTTTTTATTTTACAGAGTTTGTGTGATTGGGACAGAAAGTGAGAACATTGCCAATGTGTCCCTAATAGGAATACATACCATAACAAACACTTGCTAGAGATTCTAAAACCTCTCCTCGCTTCCTATCGAAGTGACATCATAGTTATTAGGACTGTAGGGGTATACCCAGGGGCGGACTGACCATTGGGGAACTCAGGCACTTCCCGAGGGTCCGGGGTCAGTAGGGGGCCCCATGAGATGTCCCTGGTATCTTTCATAGGCTTTTTTGGGTGTGATTTGAGTGTGGGCGAGGACACACAGGGGCCCCATGATCCCCTATTGCCCGGGTGCCCCATGAGTTGTCAGTCCGCCCCTGGGTATATCTTCCAAACAAGCTTCCAGACAAAATTAAAAACCTGATTCTAAAGCTGGCCATAGATGGATCAAAATTTTGCTGGTTCACCCGGGACTGGGTGAATTTAGATCTATCCATAGCTGTTTCTAATATATATTTGGTCTAATGATAGACTTCTTTTGAATCAGCTTGTTGGAAAATGTTCCTTCAATCAGTGCTGCAGCCTACAGGCTGCAGTGCTGATTAGTGTACTCTGACAGCAGAGGAGTGCCTACTGTGAGAATATAATAGGATTCCTCCATCCACCTGGCTTGTGTAAATGAGGAAATCCATTCAGTTATGTTTTCAATTAGCCACTGACTTGAAAAGCACCAGCCCACCCTATGCAAGAAAAAAGTAATGGCTGGAGTTATTTTTGGGGGAAAAATATGGGAGTTGCCATTGTTGATTTTTCATTCAAAATATGGTCACAGCAATAATTACCTGACAAAGGTTCTCACCCTTCTCCACCAAACTTTTAATGATTTAAATTGATTTGTGCCTCAGCTGGAGAGACTTTTCTCAATTCCAGTCTTGGTGAATACACAAGAAGTGAGGGAAAATCTACCCAATGGCTACAAGAACAACAGGTAAAACCAATGGAAAAAAAACTTCCACACCCCGACTAAATAAAAAAAAAGTTTTTGCTGAAGTTGCTACTCAGACTTCAGTGGCTGCATGCCCTGACTCAGCAGGAAAAAAATGATTCAGTTTACATCCGTTTTCAGTTCAATTTTAGTCAGTTTATGTCAGATTACTTCAGTTTTAACTTCCGTTTTTTTCAGTTCAGTTAACATCAGTTTTTATCAGTTCAGTTCTGTTTACATCACTCTGTATCCATTTTTTTGCATATGTTTTTATTTAGTCATTGCAGAGACCACTCAGAAGTGACCAAAGTATAAACAAAAAATGTCTAAAAAGGGACATAAATGAAATGGATGTAAACAGATGGCATCTGTTTACATCTGTCTCAACAGTCCTGGACATACCCTTGTCCGTTTAAAAAAACAGAGTGGAATGGACACAGATGTAAACGGATGGTAAATGGATGATCATCCATTGGTCCACAGAAATACATTGCTGTCTGTTTTTAATTCGTTAATGGATGGATGAAAAATGGACAAATGGTCTGACCATGTGAAAGGGGCCTAAAGCCCCTTTCACACTTGCGGACTATTCGTTTAATCAGTTCAGTCACTTTTGTTTGGTTTTTACTAAGTCACAGGTTTTTATTAAGTTTTTATAAGTTTACCATTAGTTTTTCCATCAGTTTTTCATCAGGTTTACATCCACTAGCAATGAAAACATGGACAGTTTGTTTTATATCTGTTTTATGTCTGTTCTGTTTTTTTAACAGATAAAAAATAGGGCTTTGATCCATTCAAAAAAATAGATGTTGACGAAAGCAGACATAAATGGATGTAAATGGATGATCATCAGTTTTCATCCGTTTTTACATAGAGAAGCTTTGATGTCCATTTTTTATCAGTCAATGGATGGATGAAATACAGACAAACGGTCTTCAAGTGTGAAAAGGGCCCAAGGGACAAGTCACTGGCCTGCCTCATTCACCTGTATATGTGAATCGTGTTCAACTGTTGCGCTTTATAACCATGCATTTTACAGCTGGTGGGAAGGAGACACAATCAATCTTGAGAAAAGGAGCCTAAAGATAGAAGATCATATATAACATTTATACTGAATATTTCATATTTACCAGTCTAATGCGATGCTTTCACTTGAAAATAATTGCAGTTTTAAACTACTCTCTATTTCAGGGATTCTCAACTAGGGTTCCTCCAGAGGTTGCTAAGGGTTCCTTGAGCAATGAGCAATTTCTGCCTCTCAGATAAGTCCCCACAGACAACATTGATCTTTTTAGCTATCATTAAGGGGATAATTCTTCCACAAGTATAAGGCGAATTCTTCCCTCTGATCGTCACACTAATGTATCATGAGTTGTAGATATAGTCATTTTTTGCAGGGGAGACTGGAAACTTTTTCCCTGAGACTGGAAAGTTATCTTAGGGGTTCCTTTGTCTCTAAAAGGTTAACAAAGGCTGCTCTAATTAATGCCAAAGTCAAGTTTTGCTACAAATGTGTGTTTGAAGATTAAGCTCCGAGAGTGTGTTTGTCCTATTACCAGGCTTTTTGTGCTCTGGTCTTGCTTTGATTTCTTTTTTAGGTCAGTGATTATTATTGCACTCAGTTTTAACTGCATTAGCTAACAATATTCCCAACTACTTCTTAACCATCCCTTTGCCTAGACACATCCATCCTCTTCTTTAACTGCACCATACAATCAGTCTGGATGAAGTCATTGGTAAAATGGTGCCTGAAATTCAAAACTGTTAAAAGTAGGTTCCCCTCAGTGTTGGGCAAGAACTCCAGTCATAATGTGAATGGAACTGTGTCTTCTGACATTCAATTTCCCCATTTCAACATAGAGAAACCTCATATTTACTCCTGGTAGGATCAGGGAAAGGATTTCAAAAAATGCTCCACAGGCTCAGTGACTGCACTTTCTACAGAAAAGCACAGGAAAATAGCCGAGCACCAATGGGGGCATTGACCAGAACCAACCTGTTTAGGAGGGGGAACCTATGGGCTAATTCATACCTGTGTGTTGCCATAACATGATAAAATGCACATTTTACATTAATTCACAGATACACATGCACCATGGTGTGGAGCCATCTGTTTTGAATGGCCCAAATGCACTTGTGTTACAGAATATCACAAAAATGGTCCATGTCTGTCCATTGGTAGCCTATTGGAATGAATAGATCACTTATTGCAGGGTTTCTTAACCAGGTTTCCATGAAACCATAAGGTTCCTCCAGAGGTTGCTAGAGGTCTCTTGAGCAATTCCTGCTTCTCAGATAAGTTCCCACTGACACCATTGATCTTTTTAGTTATCTGTAAGGGGGTCATTTTTCTCAATGACCCCAAATGTAAGGAGCGTTCTTCCCACTGACCATCACATGAACGTATCATAAGTTGTATCTATAGCAGCTTTTAGTAGGGATTCCCTGAGATCAGAAAGTTATTTCAAGGGTTCCTCTGTGTTGAAAAGGTTGAGAAAGGCTGACGGCAAGATAACATCTCAGTGATCTTCTCCCCGACCACTATTTGAAAAAAAAAAATGAGGCTGTGCAGGGCTTTGCCCACCTGGCTGCATCATTTATTAACAGAGTTCTGTGACTGGGAACACTACAACTACCGTCGGCCTTTGCAGCTGTCAGCTTGTAGTTTTCAATGAACTTCCAGGGCGCTGTTGAGTGCTCTGGTAGGCCGTTGATTCTTCCTGTCATTGTGTACATTTTTGTTTATTTAAAATCTTGCAAAAATACAGCTTGTTAATAAAAGCATATTTACATATATACAAAAAATAAAATAAAAAATAGACATATATAGTGTGGGCAAAAAAGTATTTAGTCAGCCATCAATTGTGCAAGTTCTCCCACTTAAAAAGATGAGAGAGGCCTGTAATTGGCATCATAGGTAGATCTCAACTATGAGAGACAAAATGAGAAAAAAAATCCAGACAATCACATTGGCTGATTTGGAAAGAATTTATTTGCAAATTATGGTGGAAAATAAGTATTTGGTCAATATCAAAAGTTCATCTCAATACTTTGTTATATATCCTTGGTTGGCAATGACAGAGGTCAAACGTTTCCTGTAAGTCTTCACAAGGTTGGCACACACTGTTGCTAGTATGTTGGCCCATTTCTCCATGCAGATCTCCTCTAGAGCAGTGATGTTTTGGGGCTGTCGCTGGGCAACACGGACTTTCAACTCCCTCCAAAGGTTTTCTATGGGATTGAGATCTGGAGACTGGTTAGGCCACTCCAGGACCTTGAAATGCTTCTTACGAATGGGCGGTATGTTTGGGATCATTGTCATGTTGGAAGACCCAGCCACGTTTCATCTTCAATGCCCTTGCTGATGAAAGGAGGTTTGCACTCAAAATCTCACGATACATGGCCCCATTCATTCTGTCCTGTACATGGATCAGTCGTCCTGGTCCCTTTGCGGAGAAACAGCCGCAAAGCATGATGTTGCCACCCCCATGCTTCACAGTAGGTATGGTGTTCTTTGGATGCAACTCAGCATTCTCTCTCCTCCAAACACGACGAGTTGTGTTTCTACCAAACAGTTCTATTTTGGTTTCATCTGACCATAGGACATTCTCCCAATCCTCTTCTGGATCATCCAAATGCTCTCTAGCAAACTTCAGACGGGCCCGGACATGTACTGGCTTAAGCAGGGGGACACGTCTGGCACTGCAGGATCTGAGTCCCCGGCGGCGTAGTGTGTTACTGATGGTAGCCTTTACGTTGGTCCCAGCTCTCTGCAGATCATTCACTAGGTCCCCCCCGTGTGGTCCTGGGATTTTTGCTCACCGTTCTTGTAATCATTTTGACCCCCCACGGGGTGAGATCTTGCGTGGAGCCCCAGATCGAGGGAGATTATCAGTGGTCTTGTATGTCTTCCATTTTCTAATTATTGCTCCCACAGTTGATTTGTTCACACCAAGCTACTTGCCTATTGCAGATTCAGTCTTCCCAGCCTGGTGCAGGTCTACAATTTTGTTTCTGGTGTCCTTCGACAGCTCTTTGGTCTTCACCATAGTGGAGTTTGGAGTGTCACTGTTTGAGGTTGTGGACAGGTGTGTTTTATACTGATAACAAGTTCAAACAGGTGCCATTGATACAGGTAATGAGTGCAGGACAGAGGAGCCTCTTAAAGAAGAAGGTACAGGTCTGTGAGAGCCAGAAATCTTGCTTGGTTGTAGGTGACCAAATACTTATTTTCCACCATAATTTGCAAATAAATTCTTTCCAAATCAGCCAATGTGATTGTCTGGATTTTTTTTTCTCATTTTGTCTCTCATAGTTGAGGTCTACCTATGATGCCAATTACAGGCCTCTCTCATCTTTTTAAATGGGAGAACTT